CGACCTTTCAAGTCGGAGCTTTTAGTCCAAACGTGTTACACTCGTTTGGCTTTCACTTCGGCCGCTACCACATGGCACCCTTTCCAGCTCCACTTTGGGGCCTAGGGATTTTGTATCTCACAGGAACTCTCCAGTGGTGCTTCCAAACTGACTTGAGGTTGAGACTGGGGCCGAGGGGCCTTGGGTGGGAGTGAGCATGGGCCTGAGTGGTGCCGGAGGGGCCACCCAGGGAAGTGCTCAAGAGCAGCTCCCACTCCCGAAAGGGAAACCGACTGCGGTGCTCCTGGCTCAGGTGGAGTGGTGCCCCACTTGAGTACCTTGTGGCTCACTGGTCCTCGCCCTTCCCAGGGGCTTGGGCCTTCCCTTCGGGATGGAAGTGGGGGGGGTAGAGGTACCCATACCAGGCCGTTAGGCCACGGTGTTTCGCCCCGACGTCCCGAAGCAAGTGCTGCACCCAAGACTTGGGATTTAGAGGGTCCCATGATCAAGTCTTGTGGTACCAAGGGGTGTTAGGAATCTGGAGGCTTGGTGTGCTTGGCTGTTTGTGCTTGTGGGGAGTGTAGCCGAACCTTAAGTCCAGTCTAACCCGGGGAGGGGGATTGGGAGAGATTTGGGAATCCGTAGATGGATGGCTAACACTCCGTTGCTCGTGCAGTAAGTAGCTGAAACCAAGTAGGACCAAGTAGGAGCTGGTACCATATGCGGGAACCTTGGCGAGGGAACTTAGCACAAGCCAAGGCAAAGTTGGTCGGATAGACGAGGTAAGCTGGCAAATTGGAAAGGAAAAATTTGTGGCTTACAGCCTGATAGTGCTCTTTTCATGCATCCCACTAGTAGATAGTTGCTTGGCAGAGTGAGTTCAATAGGCTGTAATATACCTACTTGGCCATGGCTTTGTGTTGAATTACTCAAGCGGTCCATGTTCACTGATGGTGAAGGTAATAACCAAGATAAGTGGTAACTTGTAAAACCTCATGTCCTTAATAGTGGAGCACGGTGTGGCTTGCTTTAAAATTGAAGATCATAATTTATGTTTTTGGTCAAATTGATCTTGAGACCTATGTCTTGGTAGAATTCCTCAAGGACCTCTAACTATTGTTATATCTTCTTTTCTATTATAGCAAAGAGTAGTAGATTATTGGCATAAAGCATGAGATGAATTTTGTAGCACACCCTATCTCTCTCCCCTTAAGCCAACTGGAAAAGGGGCAATTGCTTGATGAGAGAGCCCTTAGAAGCTATTTTATCCCCATTTATCCTTCAAGGTTCTAAGGATCCACAGTGACAGTATATCCAAATCTCATCCCATAATCACATGCGCTACACTCACCCCCCCTTCAGAGATGTCAATGTCCTCATTGACTAATGTTACTAGTCATCCACCCGTACCGTAGTCCCACAGTGGATACCTTCATCTGTGGATACTCCACACAAGAGGAAGGATGTATGCATGGATGCTCAATACGTACGATTTCAAATTTAGGGGTAGGAATATACCTTGCTCAAGGGTATATTATATTTTAAGTAACCACTAATCAATGAGAATCGAACCCATGTCATTTGCTTCGATACCAACTGTAGCACACCCTATCTCTCTCCCCTTAAGCCAACTGGAAAAAAGGCAATTGCTTGATGAGAGATCCCTTAGTGGCTATTTTATCCCCATTTATTGTAACGCATGTGATCATGGGATGAAATTTGGATATATTATCACTATGGATCCTTGGAACCTTAGGGGATAAATGGGGATAAAATAGCCACTAAGAGCTCTTTCATCAAGTAATTGCCTCTTTTCCAGTTGGCTTAAGGGGAGAGAGATAAAGTGCGCTACAATTGGTATCGGAGCAAATGGCACGGGTTCGATTCCCATTGATTAGTGGCTACTTAAAAAAGTATAATATACCCTTGAGCAAGGTATATTCTTACCCCTAAATTTGAAATCGTACATATTGGGCATCCATGCGTACGTCCTTCCTCTTGTGTGGAGTATCCATGGACAAAGGTATCTACTGTGGGACTGCGGTACGGGTGTATGATTAGTTGCCTCATATGGAATAACTGTGGTACGGGTGGATGAGATCATGTAATGCATGTAATCATGGGATGAGATTTGGATATACTGTCACCATAGATCCTTGGAACTTTGGGGGATAAATGGGGATAAAATAGCCACTAAGGGCTAAAGGGGGGGGTGAGTGTAACGCATGTGATCATGGGATGAAATTACCTAATGATTACCTAATGATTTGGGTAGTGGTGTAGCACTTTATTTCTCTCCCCTTAATCCAACTAAAGACTCATTGACTAAATCAAGGGGAATTAGCACTTCCATTTCCATATTAAATCTACCAATTATTTCATTGTATAGACCAATTATTTCATGTTTGGACTGAATCTATTGAGGGGAATTAGCACTTCCATTTCCACATTGAATCTATTGATCCTTCCATTATGTAAACTAGTTATTCTATGTTTGCACTGAATCTACTAATCATTCTATTGTGTAAATTAGTTATTCCATGTGAGAGAAGTACATACCTTTGTCCTTCCATTCAATCCTTCCATTGTGTAAATCAGTTATTCCATGTTTGCATTAAATTTACCAATCCTTTTACTGTGTAAATCAATTATTCCATGTCCATATTAAATCTATCAATCCTTTTATTGTATAGACTAGTTATTCCATATGAGAGGACTAAATATCTTTGTCCTTCCATTCAATCCTTCTATTGTTTAGATTAGTTAGTTCATATGAGACAATTAGATGCCTTTATCCCTCTATTGTGTAAATTAGTTATTCTATATAAGACAACTAAATACCTTTGTTTATGATGCTTTAGAAGAGAAAAGACATATGCATGGATGCCCAATACACACTAACGAGCGTCTGATCTAGGTCCAATACCAGCGTCCATCTCGCCATGCCCTAGGATTAGGCAAGAGGGTCAAAACCCTCTTCACACTTCACAGACAAGGAATGCTAACTATATATATTCATGTTTGATCATCCTTTTAAAAGTTTTGATGAGCCTTTTCACTAAACCATTTATTTATGGATGATAATCATTCATGAAAGTGTGAAATTTTAAGATATTATTGTTTGAGAGAATTTATTTTTTAATAAAGAAGTATTCTACACCAGTCCCAGACACACTAGCAACAACACTACTTCCCTGCTAACAAGTTTCAGAAGTAATAAAGGTATACTCAAAATTAATAATCAACTGTAGAAAAGACCCCAAAACAAACACTACCAACTCAAAAAAGGAAAAAACTACAGCATAGAAGGGAATATTATGAGTTTAATATTAAACATAGCTATATACATTTGTTTCTTCTGTTTCTTGTGGGCGGAGAGGCCAGATGGATGAGCAGCCTTGAAGACGTGATACTCGTTTGGGTTGATTAAACTGCAAACAAAGAAAGAAAGGATGTTCAGCAACATCGAATGCAAAACATGCTGGCGAGAGTTTTCCACTCACCGGATTTTCTCTCGGGCGCAGTTCCCCCACAGCAGAAATACAAATCCGGTCTTTCTTTTCGAAATGGCACGGATGGCTGCGTCAGTGAACGGCTCCCAGCCTTTCTTGGCATGAGAGTTTGCCTGCTGCTCGCGAACTAGTCCAAACGAAATAAGCGAAACGGAAAAGAAAAGAATTCGAGCAAGAGATCTCCTTGCGTACCCGTGAGAACAGTGTTTAGCAGCAAAACTCCCTGGTATGCCCACTTTTCAAGGTTTCCGTGTAGCGGAACCCGGCAACCAACGTCGCTGTGGATTTCTTTGTACATGTTGAGCAGGCTGGAAGGAATTCTGATGCCTTCTGGAACCGAGAATGATAAACCCATGGCCTGGCCTGGACCATGGTAAGGATCCTGGAGAAAAACAAATATTTTTGGACAATGTTGGAGAGGAAATCCAATGCATACCTGACCAAGAAGAACAACCTTCACTCGATCGAAAGGGCACGAGTTGAAGGCATTGAACACTTTGGCCGCTGGTGGATAAACGGGAACTTTTCCGGCCGCTTGTTGCTTCACAAAAGTCTGGAGATTCTCCATGTATGGCTTCTTGAACTCGTCCTGCAAGACCTCCACCCAGCTCGGTTCCACCAAAAGCTTCTCCAAGTCGGGGAATTCTCCTGGCGCTGGAGAAAGAACGGAAAACCACGAAAGTTACACACGCGAGAAAAAGAACTAAGAAAACACTTACAAGCTTGGACGACCTCCTCGCACAATCGCAGCTTTCTCCTGGCCAGAGCCATGGACTTGTTCATGTCCACTCGCATCTTTTGCTCTTTGCTTAGCGTTGAAACTTCCGTGCGCTCCTCCACTGAAGTTTCCACTCGGATCTTCTCGTCTTTGCTCGGACCTTGTTCTCCTTCGGCATTTTCTTCCACTGAAAGAGCTGTCTTGAACGAGTAGGAAGATTGGTGCTTCGGAGCTGGACTCTGATCGTCAAACTTTCGAGCGAGTTCCTCATCGCTGAGACGACGAAACGAGAATCCAGACCCATCCTCTCCATCCACGGTAGCGGCAGCAGTATGAAAAACCTGTGCTCAGTCCTCCGATCCCACCTTCACCCTCTTGGGAGGCTGGAAAAACTCGGTAACGCTGCGAGTCCGCCCCATTCCCAGCCTAAGGTAGAAAAGCGAGCGCCCTATCCCGATCGAGAGAGACTGCATCACAGGAACACAGCTCAAAATCGCGAGAATGCACTACTCCGATGCTAGAACTGGGAAGAACATGAATGAGGCAGGCGCACAAGCAGGGGATTCCTAGCAGACCTGGATGGATCGATTCGTGCTCCCGCGCGCCCTAGCTAGCTAGGGCCTCTCTTCCCGCCATTGAGAATACGAGCCCTAGGAAATAAATTTATCGTCCAGGCAAGGGGAAAAGGAATGATTAAACCCTACGTGGCATATACTGCGAAGATTCGTTTCTATATTTTGAACAGCCCGCCATTGCGTTGGCCCTTAACACTTTGTGGGAAGGAATAGCGCATGGCGGCGATGGCGCTCTTCTCCAAGCTCGGCGCTTTGGCGGCATTAGGGATCGCGCTCTTCATCATCAGCTCTACGATCGTGGCGCTCTTCCAGGTCGGCGACTTGGCGGCGATGCCGTGTGGCCTGCCCGTTCTCGGCGTTCTCTGTTCCACAGCGATCTTGCTCTACACCAAGATTAAGATTTCCTGGCGGGAGAGCGTCGGAATCCCCTTGGAGACCCTGGCGATGGCATATTTCCTCTCCAGCATCACGGACAGGGCTTCTATGGCAGTTCTTGGTACGTATTCTCGAATTCTTCCTTGATGATGCCGAAATATTGCGTCTTTGACGGATCGATCACATTCTTTCCAGCGGCTTTCTGCAGCTCAATGGCATCCACGATCTTCCTCCTCCATTCTGTCGGTAATACTAGCTTTTCTTTCTTGCCGGAATGAGGACCTCTTACTTCCTATTACGTGTTTAGTTCCGAATTGGATGATCGACCCGCTCTTTAGTGTGATCCAGCATGTCTCGATCGAGAGAGGTAAATCTAATCTTTCCGATTATTCAACCTTCCATATTCTTTTCTAGAACTTCCTTGCCCGTTTATCATCACTGGGAAGACCATCCTGGTACACATCGCCGAAGGAGCTCAATGCGATCTCATCGACATTCTCGGAGAGCAGCGGCCAGCGATGGTTCTCAAACGGGATGATCGATATCCCATTACGAGAGGCTCGACCCCCTCCCACGTCGATCTCTTCCTCTACGTTGCCTCCGATGAGTTGCTGCACAACTATGACGCACTTACACAACAGACTCGGGCGGCCTACTTAGCTGCAAAGGTTTCCAAGCCTGTGGACGCGTTTGTCGTCGTCGGGAAGAAAAAAGAGGTTGGTCAAATACATTTGTTGCTTGAACTCATCGCCTTCCATGCGGTTTTCCAGATGATGCGCGATCTTGGTCTTGGTCCTGCTTGCCTTCTCCTCTCTCGCGGAGTAAAGAGGCAGCTCGATAAACTCGGCTACGAGTACCGACTGTATTGCTTCAAAGACCGTTCGCCACTGGGCTTCATCGATGGTAAGTACGTGGAGAGTAACTACTTTACCTTCAAATTTTTTTTTGCCAGGGCCCTACATTCCGCCTCACAGGAGGAATCATCGACGCTGAAAATAGGCTAAAGCTCCAATCGAGTTTTATGTTGCTATATGAATAATTCCGTGGCACAGAAATATTTTTTCGCGATTTGTCTTTGCTCAAGTGAGCTGCAATGGGCGAGTGTTCCTCTCGAATCTTGAGTATGGAAACAAAACTACTCAATAAACTAAAAAAGTTTATTTCTACTATTAATCTACATTCAGAAAAGTTTCAGGAAAAACAGATTACATTATATCAACAAGAATAAATTTGAAGCAAGAATTAATAAAGTATATCAAAATTGAAAGTATAGTTCTATTATTTTTGAGAACATCAAACTTGATTTTATAATAAAATATATTTATCTGACTAAGCATGGGCTTATATTATAATAAATGCAATAAAAATTAAGTGTCGCTTATATTATAGGAAGATTAATGTCTTTGGTATTATGGCTCTATAGAGTGATTATTTTTATTAGTAACTAAATATTAGTTTGCAATGTGAATTATATTTAACATGTTAAATTACAAAATTTCTAAAAATTTCAAATTCGATGTAGTTATGTATATTTGAAGTTTATTCTAAAAAATATTTATCAAAATAATAAAAATATAATGTTTTAAAAATTTTGATAATAAAATATTAATTATATTTGTAAAATAAATAAATACATAATTATGTTTATATGACAATGATGAAAAAAGCCTGGAAATTAAAATATAAATAAAGTGAAATTTTTTAAAAAATTTAAAGTAATATCATTTCGAGCAAATATTAAAAAGGAGAACGAAAAAACACATTTTGTCTTCTTAAATGAAGCGACTGCAGACAAAATGAAATCCTCGATCAAATTGCCATTGAATCACAAAAAATTAGAAACATTGATTGATAAATTTAAAGTTACTTTATAATTTATAAATGATTAAAAATAATTTCACTAAAACTAGTATCATTACATTACCATAAATTTTGCTAAACTTTATATATTTTAATTAAATATTATTGTCTCGCCCTTAGCACTGCTGACAAATTCTTCTACATCCGCAAAGATTTCTGTCGAGTGAATAGCAAATGTTTTGTCGTCGAACGCTTCAGAGCCTCAAATACTATGTTTGGAGTTCCAACTGCAATGGCCAAGCTCCTGGAGTGATCGTACTCCTTGTCACAGAGACACATCACCTGGACATCGAACAACCCCAATTGTTCAATTATTATCAAATAAATCAACACTTAATGGATATTTAAGTTTAGTTTTAACCATACAAATATATATGTATATATTAATAAACTTTTAAAATAATTTTATTTAGTTATTTCCATATTATACTAATATTTAAAAGAGAGAAATGACTCTTTTTCTTTACATTTTTTATTTAAAAATATGCATGAGTATCTCTTTTTTATATCTTTTAGTTGGATATTGAAATACATCAATTAAAAAATAAGTTGTGAAAATTAGTTACTGTAAAAAATTCTAATATCTGATACTTAAACAACCAAATTTGTAATAAATCCACAATATTTTTATTTTTTAACTAAATGTAATATAATTTTTTAACTTTTTATTTGTTTAAGCAAATTTATAGGGCTTAGGGTTTATAATATATTTAGTTCATAAATATTTGTCCAACTTACTATATTGTTATTCATAGCTTAAATCTTGTTATTTATTTTGCAAAATTTCAAAATATTTTTTTTGATAAAATATTGTTTTATGGCCTAGTTGCCATGATAAAAATATACAGATTCAATCACTTAAACCATAATTTTCCTTTAAGATTTAATAGTATTTTTGAGTAAAATACTTCCTTTGCTAAACTAGAGATTGTAAAATCTCTCACTTCATGACAGTGTTTCCAGCAGGGGCATCCAAAAACAAACACGAACATTCGTCCTCCAAGCTCTTCAGTTCTGAAGAGCAATGAGGTTCTCAATAGCAGTTCTGGCTGATGCAAACTCATAGCCCAGCAGCCTGGACTGGAACTCTTGAGCTGCCGGGGAGAGTTTTTCCACAACATACATCATCTTACCAACAAGATACAGATCAGATTCCTCCATGTACTTATCGCCTACAAGCGTCTCTTCACCCCAAACCAGAAGCGAACACTCGGGCTCGCCACCAGCTTCCCACACAGTCTCCAAGTCGATCAAGACGTAGCCACCACCGCTCCTGGCAACATTCTCCCACCTCACATCCCGATGGACCAGCCCCGCTTCATGCAACTTCTCCAGGCCGCGAAGAATCCATAGAACAGCACTGAGAAGTTCCACTTCGGTACAGACAGGCGGCTCACACTCCACGGCCTTCATGGTCACTCTGTACCTGTCCCTCATGAGCATCGGCTCGCCAGGAACTATACCCTCTGCTTGGAGCCCGTAAGCTTTCCTCACAAACTCCATTGTCGTGAATCCTTCACTGACATGCAGCGTCCAGGGACAGATCTCCTTGATCGCCATACCATTGTCGAGCCAGAGCGTTCTCTCGATCTGGTCCGCAGCTCCATAGAACGCTGGCGGGAGCGTCCGGAACGGCCTTGGACGATCCACAAAGCTGGAGGAGGCGACGTCCTTGAGCGTGAGCGCAACCCGGAGGAGATTGATGGAGAAGTGCAAGCAAGTAAATTTGTCTCGCATCGACGTCAGTTTCAAAGGCCCCACAAGAACTTGCGATGGCGTCTGTGATCCCCGTATCATCGCCCACGCTGCCATCTCCTGGCCTGCCAGAGCCACCCCGATGATCCACGGCACTGGGCCGTAGAACCGTGGCTCCAAGTTGACGAGCTTCTCCTCTAACTTCTCTTGCGCATCCTGCAAGAACTGCCGCCTCTCCTCGAACTTGGCACACAGGCGGTTTCCAGTCCACAGCATCGGATCGGCGCGAGTGCTACCATCCAAAGAGTCCATCACGATGCTGCGATTGAACTCGACAGTCGTTATCCCAGCAAGCTTGAGCAGCTTCATCCACAGGTTGCAGAAGGCTTGGTCCCAGGCAGACTCGAGGAGCTTCCCGGACTCGTCCATCTCGGCGCTGGATCCCATGAACGCTGTCGTGAGAGACACGATGCTCTCCGCCGGGCTGTTTGGAGCGAAGCCGGCAGCAGCGATCTCATCATCATCGGCGAGCTGTGCGAAAGTTGCAGAGCCAAGGGGCAGCGCCAATGGTAGCATGTGTGAGAGGGCTCTCCGCAAGCCGTCCAGCTCCAACACGGAGAATGGAAACCGCTGTAAGACAGTAGCAGCCCATACCTTGCTCGTGTCAAGCGGTGGATCCACTCTTCTTTTCATCGTACCAAGGAAATGCGCCCATACACGTTTTACCCTAAGTTTTACCTTTTTTTAATCTTTTTTTCTTTTTCCAGATTCTGGTAAAATCCCATTGCTAATGACAAATCGCTTTCAAAGACGCAAAACTTACGCTGCTTGATTCTTAGTCTATTTTACCAGCGTCCTGTGATGAGACGAATCTTCGTAGTATATGCCACGTAGGGTTTGATCATTCCTTTCCCCCTTGATGTTAGAAGAATATTCTTAGTATAAACCCCCAAGTTAATAAAACCCTAAGCCCTAAAGCGCCCCATTTCTCCTCTGGCGATGGTTCTAGCGGCGTTCAGTCCGCGAGGAGATCAGTTTGCTATCGGTGCTGGCGATGGACGATTGAAGGTTCTTCTTCTAGATTTCAGTGTTATTGATTCAAAATATTTGATCTACAGACATGGGATGTTGCCAGTGGTCATGTTTGCGCGGAATTTAGCGAGATAGCAGCGAGTTCTTCTCAAGCTCTAGACGGGCATTTGGCTCTCAACTACAAAAGTCTAGCATGGGGTGCTTCCAGCAAGAAGGTTTGCCTATTTCGCAAGGCACAGGAGGCTTCTTCATCCTTTGTTTGTGTGTTAGAAAAAGAAGAAGGCGTCTTTGATTGTTCTAGGAACTGGAGGTGGAGACGTCCTGGCCTGGGATCCCATTCTCGGAGAGCTCACATGGAGGACAAACGATTGCAACACCGGGTAAGCGACTCCCATTTTTTTAATTTTTTTTTTCGAGTTTAGCTTGGTTTTGAGCAACTATTCCAGTGGAGTAACCTCCGTGTGCTTCGCGAAGAACCAAGGATCTTTGTTCAGTGCTGGAATAGATGGCATTGTCTGCGAGCTCGAGGTAGCCTCTGGAAAGATTTTGAGCACGTTGCAGTGCTCGAAAAGTTCAATCACGAATATATCGTCGTCGCCAGGTGTGTGCTTTCGTGAAGCAAAAGCCTTGTTCTGTAAACAAGTGTTCTTGCAGATGCTTCGCTGTTGCTTGTCGCGGCCAACGAGCTGAGACTGTTTGATATGAGAACCAGGAAGAGGTTACGAAAGTTTACTGGGCATGCTGTGAGTATTGTTATATTGATTTCTATCCTGGCACATTACAATCTCTTTCTTTTTTCTTCTGTTTTTTTTCAGTCTTCTGTGAATGTTACTGTGTTTACCGAGGACGGAAGATACGTACTTTCGGCTGCTGTTGGTGACAGAAACATCGCAGTTTGGGACACTAACGAAGTTGGGAAGGAAGCTAAAGTGGCTCTGGCGATGGAGCATCCCGCTGTTGCTCTAGATTCGTGGGGTTTCGAAAAGGATGGCACGGAAAGGAAAATACTGGCAGTCTCAGAAACAGGCGAGGCTTACATATGGAGCGGTCTGAGCTTGGAAGAGCTCGGGAAGGCCGAGCCCGTGCGAGTTCGTGTCGGCTCCAAGAACTCGGGAAAAGCGTCGAAACAAAGCATTCTTCTTGGACGGCTTGTGGGAGCTGGCTCTGTCGTGGTTGCACGGGGTACGACTGTGAGGCCGAGTTTTGAGACGGTGGCACTGCCTGAAGAAGGCGTCGTTGTTCTGCCTCCATCGGAGCAGGGAAATCTGTTACTCTCGCAGTCCGAACCGACGATCAAGCGTGGTGGCCATGATGGTAGGATCTTCTTTTCGTGTTCTTATTTACATTACTGGTTTTTCATAAGTTTTGTCGATTTTTCAGCAGTGACTGTGTTGGGAGCAGACAATGCAGCCGACGCAAGCCTTCCTAAGCCTCGAATTGAAGCTGGCGACGTGAAGAAACGAAAGAGGCGCGAAGCAAATGTGGCTTCAGAAGCCGAACCAAGTCAAGGTATGGAAGGTGAGAGTTTTCAGAAGTGAAAGTCCAGGAAGTTCATACGTATTTGCCGCTCTAGAGGATAAAGCCGATGGAGCCACTCCAATGGAAGAAGACAAGGACGAGCAAACAATGGAAGAACGTCTCATGGCTTTGGGACTGGTAGAAGACAAACGCACCGAGGGAAATGCGTTTGAGAACGCGGAAGTGGTGCCTCCAAAGTCGGATTCTCTGGAGGTTCTCTTCACACAGGCAATGCGATCGGACGACAAGAGTCTGATCGAGCAGTGCCTGTGTGTTTCGGATACGAAGGTAAACTTTTAAGTTTTTCAAATGCTTTGTTTCAAACGGTTTGATCATTGAAACTTTGTAGGTGATTACGAACACCGTCAGGTCCTTGAGTCCAAAGGATGCCTGCACTCTTTTGAGACTCGCAATTTCGAGGCTTGAAGAAAGGTAGCACAAGTTTCCCTTTCGTTGTTTTTCTTGGTGTTTATCGTAATTTCAATGTTTGTGTGTGTGTGTGTGTGTAGTCCACGGCGAGGATTGCAGTTACTGCCATGGATCCGGATAACGCTGCTGGAACATGCAAGTTATATTATGTCCAACATTGCCATCCAACCTGTCCTGAAATCTCTCTATCAGGCAAGTCAGCTTTTTACATTTTCTATTCAAGCCTGAGAGAGACGAACATGTTCCAGGTTGTGGAGTCTCGTCTTCACATATTCAGACCTTTGCTCGCATTGTCTGGAAGGCTGGATCTGATCGTCGCCAAGGTAAAAGCGGACACAGTCGCTTTTCATGCTCATCCTGTTTTGTTTCAGATCAAGGCAAACGAGACATCCAAGAGCGTCGAGCAAGCGGAGGTGGCTACCGCTGTTTACGAAGAAGATGAAGAAGAAGACAGTGATCAAGAGGTGGAGGACGCAATGGCTGACGAAGACGAAGACGAGGACGAGGAGGAAGAAGAAGAAGAAAGGATGGACGAAGACAAGCCTCACCTGGAAAACGGTGGAAGCTTTTCGGACGACGAAAGTGACCAAAGCAACGATTGATCAACACCTTTTCCCTCTCTTCCTTGGGGTGAGTAAAAACTTTGGTGTTTCTGCTTGGCTCTCACATCACTCACAAACCTTGTTCGTTGCTTGCACAGGTCAATGCACCAAATTTTGTACTGAAAACACTCTAGACCATCTTCGCCAATGCGTCTCGCGGTTCTTTTTTCTTGTATTAAGCTAATGGAGAAGTTCCAAGTAAGTTTTTTTCATTTTAACAAATCGAAGGCAAGCGAGGAGGACACTGCATTAAATTCTCTGCTCTCGTTGTGCTGGCAAGAGAGATTTGGAGGCCATAGGTGTAATCATGGCACCCAAATTTTTATTGTCACTCGCGACAGTAGCAGCACACACAGACAGACAGACGCGCCCAGATGCTAAAACCAAAAAACACTGAAAGAGATGGAAAGAACCAAACCAAAACTAAAGGCGGACTAAAGGAAAAGACCCGCTCGTGTAAAAACCTCCCTTAAACCTCCCCTCGTAACATTCTAAATCCAAGGACGTTTGATGCCATATGATACTGTCCCCATACGTACACCTAGTCGCAGCGCTACGTACCTACCAGCCTAGCATCTACAACCCCTGGGTAAAAGAAATTCATGGTAAAAAATTGAGAGTTATCCCCTTTTTTGACGACACGGTCGCCGGTCCCCATCACGCACAGCTTTCAGTGACATTAAAATCCCACAGTACGATAGATACGTTGCATTGTGAGTTCTCACGCTAAGCACCGAATATTTTTTATTTCTCCACCCTTTTCAACGACTAGCAAGGTATATTCTGCTTCCAGTATATTCTGTTCTCGAGAGAATATTCGTCCAATCCCCTGACAGAATATTCTTCTGGAATGTATTGTATGGGAGAGCGTAGGTATCCGTTGCGGGGCTGCGATCGTCCGTATGCGTTCGCCTGATTAAACAAAGAAGCAAAGCAAAGTATCAGCTTTACAGAAAAGAGAAGCTTTAGAACTTAGCTCTTTGTTGCCCGTTAGTATCATCCAAAAACTTCTCCGCCACTGCTGCTGCTGTTACTGATGCTCTTTCATTTCTCTCAGATTTTGCGTTGCTTTTTCCAGAGAGATCTCTCTTTTTATTTTCCAATCGTCTTGCTCGAAATATAGTCATTTCCATGTGATTGCTTTCGATCATACAGCTTGATCATACACCTCTACCACAACGTATATGTGTTAATATAGCGAGAAAGAAATTAAAAAAGAGCAAATAGAAAAACCTGGAAGCGATATATAGTCTCTCGACAACACACGTGTGCGCTAGTGTTGAATCCATTTCTTCGCAGGGGAGCGAGGTACCTACGACACAAAAACTCGTCTAGTTAGACAGAGAAGCAAGAAGAGGGGCTAGCTATTCTTTCTCTTTCCTCGCTTTTTTTTCTCTCCTTAGCGTTGATACTTTGGCCTACCTCGTGTCGTGTGATCGCTCCATTGATCGCCAGCAGCAGTGGGGCTCGCCTAATCGTCAATCGCGGTGGGGCTCTCCTCTAGCGCTCGCGTCTACGTAACACCAGCGTGAGCTCTCGAGCACCGCCCTCGAGCCTCTTGAATCAGCAGAAAAGCACTGTTCTCGTCGTTTTAGTCATCTGTGATGTCGATCTGCTAGCGGCTGCTGGAGCACCTTTTTTTCTTTTCACCCCCGGAACGGTTTTAAGGATCTCTAAACTCTGCTTATCATCCCCCTGTTCCCTGCTTCATGCGCTCTTAAACAACGCTTGCACTGTGCGAGCTCCTCTCTCTTATCCTCGCCTGGAGGTGAGAGTTTCCACAGCTCTCTCTCGGACATATAAATATCATGGAGGCAGCAGCAGCAGCAGCAGCGGTGACAGATCGAGGATTCGGACGCTCTGGAGTGCTGCGCGTGTTCATCATTCTCATCAGCACCTGTGTGGCATCAGGTTAGAGAGCTCCAAACTTAATGCCTTCCCTCTCCCCCTCTATCCACAGACCTTTCACTGTTCATAAGGGGGCTTCTTCTCGCAGCTCCAAGGAACTCCTCGACTGTTCCAGGACAGTTTTTCCTCCGAGTGATTGAGTTTTATCCCCGCCACGAACCGACCATGGTGCTCATAACTTCGCTCTTTCTTGTGTCATAACGCAGGAGCTTCTGGATTTGTTGGAGTCAATGTAAGGTACCCCAAGCTCGAAGTTGAAGCTGGCCGTCTCCCAAAAGCAGAGCTTGTCGTGGATCTTCTCCAAGTCCTCCAAGTCCGGTACATCAAGCTGCAGGGCGATGCTCATCCCTCGATTCTTCGGGCCCTGTCCGGCTCGAAAATTCAGGTTCTTCTCACCGTTCCCGATCAGTCCATTCCAGCTCTTGCTCAGTCCCAGAATGCTGCCTCAGAATGGTTCGAAGCAAATATCCTTCACCACTTTCCATCGACGGAGGTCACGGGTATCGTACTGGGGTCGGAGCTCATGACCAAAGATCCCTCTTTTGCTGGAGATCTCATCGAAGCCGGCAGAAAAATCCGTTCTTGCATCGCAGCGGCGGGTCTAGAGCAGGAGATCAGAGTGTCGGCTTCGCTGTCCATGCAGATGTTCTCGCAGTGGGGCCATAAACCATCCTCGGCAGCCTTTGAAGATTTCTACCAGAGCCACTTGCGCGAGCTTCTCGACTTCCTGGCTCCCAAAGGCTCGTACGTGATGATCAATGTAGACCCCTTCGAAGCTCACCTCCATGATGGTTTCGCTCTCGACTTTGCCATGTCGTCGTCCACCGCTCAGGAACTTCTCGATGAAGACACCAAAGTTGGCTACTCCAGCTTGCTCGACGCCGCTGTCGACTCCGCCTACAGTGCCATGGAAAAGCTCGGCTTTTCAAACATTCCGGTTGTCGTTGGTGAGATCGGCTGGCCATGGAAGTCGTCTGGATCCGAAAGTGACCCCCTCTCGACCGCAACCGTTGAGAACGCTGCTCTCTTCGCTCAAAGCCTCGTGAAACGGATCCAGAGCGACAAGGGGACCCCGCACAAGCCAGAAGCCAGCATCCGTGTCTACGTCCACGAGTTCTTCGACATCGTTGGCCCTGCTGGTGATAGTCGTCGACGCTATGGACTTTTCAGCACGAGCCAGGTCCCGCGGTACAGCTTCCACTTGAGTCCCGGAGTCTCGGAAGCTGAGATCTTGATGCGGAGAGTCCTCGCTGACAACGGCACCAACGGTACCGCTGTTGCACCACCCTCCGGTGGAACTGGAACTGGAAGTGGCCAGTTTTGCGTTGCTGCTTCAGGAGCACCTGATAGCTTGCTCTCCGTTGGCCTCAACTGGGCCTGCGGCCAAGGGAACGCCGACTGCACCCCTATCCAACAGAACGGTGCCTGCTATCTCCCGGACACTTACTCCGCGCATGCGTCTTACGCCTTCAACAGCTACTACCAGAAGAATGTTGGCGCTGGAGCAACATGCGATTTCCAGGGAGCCGCAATGCTGACGAGCACTGATCCAAGTAAGCTTCTGTTTTAGTTGCCTCAGCTGGCTGGTGTTGACGGTAGTCCTCTCTCTCTCTCTCTCTCCAGGTCATGACAGCTGCATATTCACGTCAAGGTAGAGTGGTTAACCGATGTTTCAAAGCTTACCTTTGAGCGTGGTTTCGTTTTGTTTGCATCTTTGCAGTGGGAGCTCGGGTGGCGGGGCTGGCACGGGTGGTGGCAGCACCAGCGGTGGAACAACAGGACCATCGTCATCGGGTGGCATCCTCCAGCCATTTAATCCGTCGAGCAATACATCGAGCGGGGAAGCTTTGCATGCGACGGTGGGAGCTGCTTTCATGCTCGCAGTGCTGGTTTGGACTTGGAGATTCTGCTTGTGAGTTTCAAGACTTTTGTAGTGATGGGAAGGGAGCGTTCGTTGTCCGTCCGTTTGCTTAGAAGCTTTAGCTACTTCGTCTTAACTTGTACCACGGCCTGTTACAGTAGATCATGTTTAGTCCCATGGGCCAACCAAATCCTTCTTACCTTTCAGAGTTTTTGAACTCGTTTTTTTTCGCCACACCAGAAACACTGGTACGTAGTCCGGTTGGTGAAGAACAGATGACGCTTACGTCCAAATTACGACGTTCACTCCGGACAGTAGTGTAGCCACTGTGGCATGCTTGTCGTTATCGATCTCTTGGTAGGTTCCAGCTTTGGGGACCAACTTGGATCTTGGGGGCCACCTGTGAAACTCCCCAGAGCTTTCATAATCGTCCTTGTGAGTTTTATCTTTTGCCAAAGCAGCAAGCTAAAAAGATTCCCACACTTTGCATACTAGAGGAAGCAAAGTCTTCGCGAAACAATGGCTTTTTCCCTCCTCAGTGGCCATTATCATAGATCCCGCCCGCATTCGAGCCTATTTTTCTTGATAACCTCTAGATTCACTGAAAGCTCCCTCTGCTTTCTTGTTCATCGTTGACGATGGTAGTCTATGAAACGTAAGCGACTGTGCAGCCACCATTTACGAAGGACTCGTCCTCAAACTTGGCCACGTTGGGATGCTTTCGCAAGATTGAGATCACTGCCTGTTTCAAAGCACCTGTTCCGACGCCATGAATGATGAAAAGCACTGATCCCGGTTCTCTCTCTGCTATAACCATGCGAACGACTTGGATAGCGTCCTCCACTGTCATTCCCCGCAAATCTACTGTATTCTTCGACGTTTGGATTGCAGGCCCGAATTTAAGTTCCGTAGTTCCCGATTCGGGAAGGAATGGAGCAGGCTTCTGTAAGATAAAAAAACAATACTAGCCATCAACTCCAAACAAAACATAGAAAAAAAGAGATCTGACTGTACCTTTGCCTGTTTAACAGGACTGCCCTGGGCTGTGAGCATCAGCTCAGTGGTCTTGACGCGCATTTTCATAGTTCCAAGTTGAACCATCAAATGGCCACTATCGTCGGCAGGCTCAAGTACAGTTGCCGGCTTTTTCCCCAGCCTCCGTATGATAACTCGTTCTCCTACTCCCGGCAAAGGCAAATAACTATTGCTCGGATTTTGTTCTTTGAAGAAAGCGCCATAGTCGTTCACTATGGTGGTGATTGAGTCCTGTGCAGTTCGCAATGTAAATGCCTTGCCACCGCCACTGTTATTACTCAATCCTTCTTTATACCTGGATATCACTGCCTCCATCTTGTTTTTTGCTTCAGTGACGTGCTTGCTCATCGAAGCTAGTTCCTGGCGTTTTGCGGCAATTTTTCTCTTGTCCAGGTCGTCAACTTCAAACGCGATCTGGAGAGAATGAACACAGAATTAGCTACTTATTATTGTGGCTGACAGGAATCCGCTTACTTCGTTGTGCAGTGTCTCTATATCAGAAAGATACACTGCTGCTGTGCAGGCATGGTCCTCTTCTTCCTCGGACTGCTTCATGAGCTGCAGCATAAGATCGCTCTGACGACTTTTAAGTCCCGACGGTGTCAGCTTAGTCAGCCAGTAGCTTGCACGGCTGAGGATATCCGAGTCGAACTGAAGAGACTTCGCAATGTTGAGAGCATTTGACTGTCCAGGAAGTCCCCAAAGAACTCGGTAAGTTGGCCGAAGCGTTTCTAAGTCGAACTCCACAGACGCATTTTCAAATGGCAAGTCCTGGTCGTGGATTGGAAGGGTCTTCAGTGAAGCACTATGCGTGGTGACGATGCATAGATGAACCGTTTTGGCGAAATACTTGAGCACAGCAGTAGCCAGAGACGATCCCTCGGCCGGATCAGTGCCACCTCCAATCTCGTCTATCAGCACCAGAGACTGAGGACCACTTGCTTCGGTAATCTTGCACAGACGCCTCATATGACCACTAAATGTTGACAAATTCTGCTCCAGCGACTGAAGAAAGAAAAACTCAGAAGTCAGAAACCATTTTAGCAAGCGGATCACGCACCTGAGAATCGCCAACATCGGCAAATATACGATCAAACCACGGGAGTCTGGGATTTCCTGACGCAGGCAAGTATAGTCCCGCCTTCGCCATAATAGAAGCAATTCCCAGCGTCTTCAAAGCTACAGTTTTCCCACCGGTGTTTGGGCCAGAGATGATAACGATCTTGACTCCGTCTCTCACCTTGATGTCAATCGGAACAGGAAAGTTATCTCTGTCCAAACCTTTTTCCAGTGCAGTCTCAAGCAATAGAGGGTGCCGAATCTCCTCAATGATAACTCCCTTCGACTCGCTTTTACTTTCGAAGAACGCGGGCTTCACTGCTCCAAGCCACTTCGCATGCTTCGCTCGAGCACAGGCTAAATCCACCAGCGTGATTGCGTTGAGCTGCTCAAGGATGCTTGCTGCGGAGGCGGCAACTCTGGACGCAAGCCTTCTGCAAATCGCCACTTCTTCTGCTCTTTCAGCTGCCGAGAGCTGTATCTCCAAATTGTTTAACCGAAGTGCCGGCTCTGGTTCCATGAACAGCGTCGCACCAGTGTTGCTAGAATCCAAGACCACGCCTCCAGGAAGTAGAAACTTGTGTGACGCTCTCACAGCAACGCAAAGCCTGGCTCTTCTGGTGGTGATAGTCATCGAGTCGATCCCTCCGGCATCTATCACCATTCTCGCTGTTTCCTTCAGTAAACTCTCGAGCTCGGTCATGTTGGCCTGCCTTTGGCGACGAACTTGCGAGAGCTTCGTGCTCGCCCTGTCGAGAACGATCTCTCTCTTCGAATCCAAACACTTGTCGATGTCTTCTCGCAGCTCGCTGCAAAGCTCCAGGCCTTGCATGATCCGTTGTAGTGGAGAAAGTTCCAAACGTTCTAGCTCCAGACCACCACCACCTTTCGCGAAGAGTTGATCGTGCAAGCGTCGAGCGCACTCTAGCGTATCCTTGACCGAGCAAAGCTCTCCAACATGGCAAAACTCTCCGGAGATGGCCGCTTCCACGACCTTCGTCACGTCCTTAGCACCAAGAAACCGAAGAGTCCCGGCCAGCTTGTGAGCATCCGCTGTTTGATCTTGCAATCCCTCGCTGTCCTCTCGATTCTTCCCGACTGGAAGATTGGAGCCCCGAGCAGCAGCAACACCCATGGGCGTGGCACAAAACCTGGCGATTTGCCGACAAACCAGCGGCCATTCCAGCAGCCCCAGCGCCTCAGCCTCCACGTCCATCTCCAGCGGCTGCTGAAGAACAAAATTCCCATCCTCGTCGCTTCCATCGCCGTTATCTAGCCCCCTGGAGCTCCGAAATCCCAGAGCCTGGCAATTTCTAAGCCGCCGCACGGCATAGCTCCTTCTCGCGCTGCTCGCAAATCTAGAAGGCCATCGATGGCACGGGAAATCGATCAGACAGCCTGCCGCGAGCAGCATTCTCCAAGAATTTCGACTAACCTGCGCTGGATCTCATTCCCGCCCACCTAAGCTACGCTCGCGGAGAAGACGATTCCATACACTAGGGTTCTAGCAAAAGAAAATAACGCTGGAGAGATTCGAACACCCGACGTATCATCCATTCAAATCAAATGAGCGAACAAAAATTATTCCATGGCTGGATATAAGTGAATAATTAAAAGGCTTTGTTGAGAAACATTCTCTCCCAGTAAAGCATCGTTTCCCTCTCGACGTTTCTTTCCTTTACAGCGTCCGTCGTGTCCTATAAGTTGCAATTCGATGATCTTGGAAGTTGATTCGATGACCCTGGAAGCTTTAGAATTGTCTATACGAAGAACACCGTGTAAGTTTGGCGATCGATCGGGCGAATTTGAGAGAAACATACCATTGCTGCATCTTTCTAAACTCGGTCAGCACCGGGTAGATGTTCTCGAATGCTTCGTAGATCTCATCCCGGACCTGTGGAAAAAAAGGAGCTCCAAGGAAGAGAGCTTCGTTACCTCCATCTCTCTGCGTTTTTTACTGGTTTTACCTTTGCACCAGTAAGCACAATCTTTCCAGAGACGAAGATCAGGAGCACGATCTTAGGCTGCTTCATTCGGTAGATCAATCCGGGGAACAGCTCTGGTTCGTACTGCACAAAACTTTAGTGATAAGACCCGCAAAAGAGAAAAGAGTGTAAGTGTGACAAAGGAAGCACGACTTACGCTTGAGAAGTGACCGTGAGCGTACGCCAGGCCCTCCAATCTGATCGGGAACTTAACGTCACAGGAGCCAACAATGTTCTGGATCTTAAAATCCTGCGATCACGGACGTTACTAAGTTTGAGCTCAGACCACAATGTGTTTTCGTCTTCATACTTTAAACTGTGCGGGGAATCCCAGCTTTTGGATGATGCGAGCATACTGCAAGAACGAAAAACCATGAGTCCCATTGTCGAAGAAGAAAACAGCGTCAAGCATTTACCTTTCTTGCTGCGAGCTTTGATTGTTGTTCGCTCTTGGCTCCAGTGCAAACCTACAAGCAAGCCGTTCGTAAGAATCACAGCGCCAAAATCAAGGAAAAAGAGACGAGCTACCATCTTTCCCGACGCAAAAATCAGCGCTGTCGTCTTGGGCTCCCTTATTCTCATGATCACGGCTGCGAAACGCTGTTTCCAGAGCGTTAAGTTAGAAAACTTCCTCTCTCCCACAAACCTTGGGGTTATACTCAGCATTCCTCGCGTGAAGAGCAATGGTTTTCAGATCTAGTTTACAATCCATGTTCACGGTCGAGACAATGTTCCTGAAAAGAAAGAAAAGACCCCAGCTTCCATTACAATCTTGTCACCACAAACCCAAGTACCACTCACTGTAAGGTCGGAATGATCCCAGACGGATGCTTGGCAAGATCCACCGGCTCAGTGCCCTCTAGAATTTGCGCCATGGGTCAAGAACAAGAGATTACCAGCGCTGGCGAAATCAAGCGCCGAAACGCAGAGAGGATTGCGATTTGCGAGGTCGTCGAGCAGGCGCCGCCGCGGCAGCTCAAGATCCAGCGCTAGGGTTTTACGCGCCGCCGCAAACCTTGGAGGAGTGGAGATTTGGGGGCGCCGGCCTCTTTCTTTGTGGCGCACTGCTCGAGCCCTAGAAAAAGAACGAAGGATTTAAGGAGGATGGGAGGATATATATAGAGCGCGCCCTGGAGGGCGGTTTATATACTTATGCCCCTTTGAAGAACACAAAGAAATGAGAAGGGCAAGGGCAATGCCCTCGCGTGTATGGGCTTGGGACTATTTGACAGAGACAGATTCCGTCCATTATTTGTCCGTACCTCAGCCTATCTAACGGACGTGGTGGGACAACGAATCGAACACGCGTGTAGTGTTGCGAGGGACGTGGACCAGTGGCACCGTGCCACGTGTTTTTCTAAAGCCCTAACGTGGAAGCGCTAAAGAGGAGGTAGAATGCTGGATCGATCGGCGAGAGTGATCTCGGCGGTAGGAGAGTGATCGCAGGCTGGGAGTGTGATTGATCGCCAGGCGCGGTCGATCGGCGGCGGCTCTTGCGCGATGAGGTGAGATTCGAGCGCGATTTCTCACGATGCAGAGCCAGCCGTCGCAGATCCATCTTACTTTCAGCTTGAATGTGGAGATTCTGTCGAGGCTGGCGCAGTGGAGGATCGACAGCCTCACTCCCAATCTCTGCTGGAAATCAAACAATTTTAAGATGGGTGTGTGGACATGGTAAGTTTTTTTCCTCTAGAACAGTAGAACACACGCAATGTATGTAATTTTTTTTCTTTCCAGGCGCTTGCAGATCAAAAAATGTGGGCCTTTGCATGTCTGGCTTTTCAAGGAACACTCGGATCATCCAAGCGATCAAGTGCCAACTGTAGCTTTTGTTCTTCGTGTTCTTCATGGACCAGGTCTACGTCAAGTAGTCCAGTCTCAAGGTACTTGGTGACTATAGTTTGATCGAAAACCTTGACATGGATTGGATCTAGCAGTGAATGACAAGACTTTCCTCACGAACGAGTACCACGCTTGGTCTGTGGAGACTGCGATCCATGGAAAGTTCGTCGTGGAGGCCGAGTTTATAGACATGAAATGTGGCTCGCAAGCCGTAAGTTTCTCTCTAGAACACCATCAGCATCGATCTCAAAGTCGTGAGTTTTCTTTTTTCTTTGGTGATTTTCCATCCAGGGTGATCCTTTCTACTTCACTCTAGGAAAATCGATCCAGCCCGCCGCTCACCAGGCCGCGCTGAGCTGCTTGAGCTACATGCTAGACAGTGGCGTCCACACAGACGTGACGATCACAACGCCGAGCGGAAGCATTGGAGCACACTTGGCGATCCTGGCGACGCGCTCTCGAGTTTTCCAGGTGATGTTCTCGCACGACTTGAGAGAGAGGAAGACTTTCACGATCGAGATGGAGGACATGTCGCTGGAATCGCTCAAGGCACTTCTAGCATATCTCTACGGCAGCATCAATCGCCCAGCGTTTCACAAGCACCGGATGGCTCTCCTCGCCGCCTCGGACAAGTATGATATCGAGGATCTCAAGCAGGCATGCGAGGAAAGCTTGATGGAGGATATAAACTCGGACAACGTTCTGGAGAGACTACACAACGCGTGGATGTTCCATCTTCCAAACTTGAAGAAGGTAACTATCTTCTTGCTGATCTTTCCTGTAACTTCTCTCGCGCTTTGTTTCACAGGATTGCATGAGATACCTCTTCGAATTCGGCAAGATTCACGACATTCGTGCTAATTTCGACCAATTCCTCCACTCTACTGACAAAGAGCTTCTCATTGAGATGTTCCAGGAGGGTTTAAATGCCGTACACTTTTAATTGGTTGCTTTAATGTTTTGTAATTTTGTATATGTATGCTTAAAAATATTCCAAGAATGCTTTTGTAATTGCTAGAGATATTATCACACCGATAGAGTTTGGTGATAATACTCCTCGAGTTGATTGTTCGCACCACCCAAATGTACGTGAGCGCACCAACAATGCAAATTGTACAGCGTGTTGATTGTTCCAAGTCTGGCAACACTAACAAAAGTTATTCCCAACTCAACGGCGTGATGATCTATGGCAAGACTAACAAAATTATTCCCAAATGTATGGAAACTCAAGTGTGTTGATTGTTCTAAGAATTAACCTTGTAGTGTCAGGTAAAAGAAAAGTGTTCTCAACTACCAATGCTGCTAGAAGACGTATGGTGATTAGGAGTAAGCACGAAAGTTTCTACTATCCATGTACGTTAGTACATATACTCTTGGTTAGGTCAGGATTCTTTCGATTGAATGTACCCTTGATCTTGAACTTCTTCCAATGATTTAGTATGCTCTTGAGATAGAAGACAAGCCTTCGGAAACTTGGGAGCCGAAGCTTCCAGCTCTGCAAATTGGCGAGCTTGACCAAGCAGGCAAGGATTTTTCCTAGTTGATAGCAGACATCCACCAAATTGTTTGGCTTGATGCTTGTTGAAATATATTTTGGAAAGCATAAACCTCGTCAAACTTGTTGACAGCAATCTAAAGCTCTTCGTCTACTTTCTCGTGCAAAGTTCTGCCACAAAATGGGATCTGATTCTCTCAGCATGAAAATGAAATAGTGGATGTGCAGTCATAGAAGGTACCTTTGTGTCATGGTGGGGGTTAGTTGTTGACAAGGTCTCATTGCACGAGAACCTGTCCAAGGGACGATAATCAACTAAACCTCACTCTTTTCTAGTGCAGCTGAATTTTTTCAATGGTAGTAGCTATCAAGATCTCACTGTACATTAGTTCTGTACATGTACATGGATCGTGGAAGCTAATGTACGTGCTCATTGTGTTGAAGTCTAAGATTATGGACGGCTGGACATTGTTCCCAGCTACATTATAGATAGAGTGAATTTCAATGTAGGATCAACAAGACTCGTCCAACCAACAGACCCACGGGATGACAGCTTGGGTACTTTATTTGCCGGCAAGCTCCGGTTTCACACGACAAAATCACACAAACAACCAACTTTGTTAGAATTATATTCCATTACCTAGTGCCCGCGTCAAACTTCACGGCGTACAAGGACCTAATCCACTCCCAAAAAGCACCTTTGCCAAAACTGTTTGGCTTTGGAAGAGATCTATCCGACTACTTTCCAGAACATTTTTGGTTTTTGGGACCCTTCTCCTCGCTGGGAAGTCACAATCCGCTCGAGAGCTCCGTTTAAACGCCCCCACAAAACAAGCGTGGAGAGCGTCCAAGTCGAGTTGTCGTGTTGGGTAAATTGACTGGTCTTTAACCTAGAGCCCGTCAACCTCCAGATTGTGTAGGCCGCAATCGCACCGTCACCCTGTGGAGGATGATGGCATCGTAGTAAAAGTCAATACGTGGTGCTGTAGGTGTTTCATTGACGGGCTGCCTACTTGTCCAGTCAAATAAATATCCCCACCATGGCTCCACTGCAACCAAGAAAGCTTCAAGAAAGAGTACCTACTTGTGAGCTCCAGGTTGATACCATAATTCCTTGAAGAAAAAAGGAGAGAAGAGTGCTAGTTTTTCCGGGTTTATATCATAAGTTCTTGGAAGAGGAGATTGAGGTTGATATCTTAACTTTTTGGAAAGAAGGAACCCTGAGAGGATGGGATCATACTATCTCCAGATCAACACCGAGGAGCCCGAGGTGATCAAGCCGGCATCGCCCACCAAGAAATGCGCGCTTTACCTCAATAATTTCGACCAGCAAGTGTTCTTCCACGTCGAGATGCTGCTGGTGTACGATGTTGGTCACGGGGAGTATAGCATCCAGCTGGGTGACGATCTTCGTGACGATGGCGGAGCTATGATCGAGAGGCTCCGCGAGGCGCTGAGCAAAGCGCTGGTGGCTTACTACCCGGCGGCGGGGAGGTATCGGATCAATGAAGAGGAGGCGCGGCTGGAGATTGATTGTGGCGAGCAGGGTGCCCTGCTAGCGGTTGCGCGCTCGAGCTCGTCAATCGCGGAGCTGGGCGATCTGGATGCTCCAAATCCCGAGTTCCGGAGGCTCCTCCTCTATCCCAAGAGCGTCAAATCCATGGAAGAAGTTCCACTCTTGACGGTCCAGGTCTGGATTTTCTTTCCTTTTCTCATGTCTTCTCTCCTTCTTTCCATCTTTCCCGAAATGCGTGTTGGGCGATCAAATCCAAGAGTGATGGCAACTCGGATAGATTGTTTCTCATCAATTCCAGGCCACACTCGGGGTTTGATCGCTCAATTTCTCAAAATTCCCAGTCATGGCATCTTCTATAGCTGGCAATTCGCCAAAATTCGATCGACTCGTCCAGCGATGTCGACTTGGGCCGTCGATCGAGACACTCCAATCCAATCGAGGCTAAAACCCGTGAGAATCTCTCTCGCAGGTAACGCGATTCCGCTGTGGAGGATTCATCCTGGGCTTCTTCATCAGCCACGTCGTCATGGACGGCATCTCCATCAGCGATTTCCTCCACGATTTCGCGACGATCACGCGAGGGGAGGCCGTGGAGCTCGCACCGCGCGACCCGGATCGCTCGTGCTTCCGCCACCGATCGCCGCCACTCGTGACACGCGACCACCCGGAGCTTGCGGCCCTCCCGGCCACCCCCGCCAAGCTCCTCTTCAACCCCTCCTCCTGGTACGACGCCACCGCGCCACTGCCCATCGCGTTCAAGACCTTCTCCTTCACCGCGCGCGACCTCGCGGCGCTCAAATCGCGCGCGCTGGCGGAGGGATCGCTCAACAGCTGCTCCACATTCCAGGCGCTCACCGCGCACGTCTGGCGCGCGCGTACCGCCGCCATGGGCCTCGACCCCGCCGCCATCTCCAAGCTCTTCGTGGTGATCAGCATCCGCGACAAGCTCAAAGCCCCGCCGCATTTCCCCGAGAGATTCCTGGGCAATGGCGTGATCGCGGCGCCGTGCGTGAACACCACCGCCGCCGAGCTCCGGGAGAACTCGCTCACCTTCGCGGTGCGCAGGATCCAGGAAACCATCGCCAGCGTGGACGAGGGGTATATCCGCTCGGAGCTCGATTGGTGCCACGTCAAGGGCCACGGCATCATCGACCTGCCAGGTGGCATGATCATCACCACGTGGTCTAGGCTCGGGTTTGACTCCGTTGACTTTGGCTGTGGGCGGCCTGCCTACGTGGCGGCCCCGGTCAACGACCGTCGGGAGTACGTGCTGGTGCTGTCTAGCTGCAAGAACGATGGCGGCGTTAACTTGTTTATGGGGATGGATTTTGATAAGATGGCCAAGCTGGAGGCTTTGCTCAAGGTATGAAAGAGTGTATAAGTAAGAAATTCCTGGTTTTCTTCTGGAATAATTTTGCTGGTATCAATCTGTCAACTAGTTTTCTGATAGATTTGTATACGTAAGAAAATTCCTAGTTTTCTTCTGGAATAATATTTGTTTTGTAGAAAGCTGACTTGGTCTTATAACAAATTTTCTTCTAAATCTAGACTTAAGAAAGAACGGGAAGTTCACGCAATGCGGTTGTTGCCTGGTTAAACATCAGAGCATAAAATCTTGTGTCGCTGAGCGAGTGGGAGACTCCGACACGAAACTATTCCTTGTTTTATAGAATTTTTTTTTTAGAAAAGAAGAAACCTGATTTGTTTGCTCACCAGTCTTTGTTGTTATTTTTATACTGGGCCATTCAATCCAATATGATGATGCAAAGAAAGAGAACAAAATCAACTACCCTTCCAGAAGTACAAGATACTCAATATATTCATGGTTCTTAAACTATATTAATCTGATAAATACTTTCTAAAACTTTGTAAATTTCATGTTTTTCAATTAATCTTTCAGTTGCTACCCGTCATGATCCATTGAAAAAATTCAGCTGCAACTTAGTTTGCGTGTTTGGACTTTCAGTAACCATTAGAAAATTGAGGTTTCGTGCAATTTGGACAAGTTCTAAACCCACGCCAACCATTTCATTTTACATGATTTAAATATGCTGTATTCTGCTTGGATTCCTAAAGATGATGCAATCTGTGGTACCTTTGCGGGCAGAACTTCACACAAGAAACTTTACAGGAAGAGCTTTAGATTTGACAAGGTTAATGTTTTCCAATGTTTTCCATTCCAAGGTCCACTCAGGGCAGCTGTAAGAAGACAAGGAAATGGGTGCTTTATTTCAACAATGTCATCCAGCAAGTGTTCTTCCATGTTGATTTGCTTACTATGCATCCGGCCAAAGAATTGCGGTGGAAGTCTTTTATCTTTTATCAACGAGGAAGAATCGTGGTTGAAGGCGCCTCGTCGGTCAAGCTCTCCAATGGCGGCTGGAAGCTCAGACCAATTCTATCTCAAAAGATCATAATATCATTGGAAGAAGTTCCAGTCTTGACAGCTTTTGAAGGTTAGGTCAGGCTCCAATCAGTAGCTGTTGGATATATCCAGTTTAAGATTGACTCGCATGAACATCAAGATTTCATGTGATTGTGTGCTATAACATATTTGATCAGATCAATAATTGAACGTATATAAACTAAGTTTCTAGACAACAAAAATTTCATCTTGGAGCTCTTGCCGCGAGCTTCTTCCTCTCCTTTCGAGCAATCCAATTCTCCGGAGCTCCAACCGAGTAGCAAAGATTGCTGAGAAGAACATAGCCAGCTCCATCGCCTCCATCCAAGCCCAGGACGGAGCTCGCAACCCGGCCACCCTGCTCGACACCGCCATAGCCATTCCCGCAAGCTCCAAGCAGGCACCTCCACTGGAGCGCGCTCGAGCCCAGCGGCATCTCCACCACCAGCGCCTCCGCGTCGTCCAAGTGCCCCGCCCGAGCCAAGAGATCCACCATGCAGCAGTAGTGCTGCCTCGTCGGCCGCTCGCCAAAGTCGACGAGCAGCGATCCAAACCATCTCCTCCCGTCCGAAAGCTTCCCGGCTCGGCTACACGCGACGAGCACCGCCACGAAGCACGCCCCGTGATGCATGTCCGTGAGCTTCATCGCGTTGAAGAGCTCGACGATGCCGCTGGTGTGTCCTCCGTTCTGGGTGTACGCCGCCAAGATTGCGCACCACGAAGCGAGGTCTCTCTCGGGCATGCGATCGAACTGCTGCCTGGCGAGCCGGAGATGGCCGTTTTGCGCGTAGGCCGAGAGCATGCCGTTGAACGAAACCAGGCTCCGCTCGGGCATGTCGCTGAAAGCCTGCTTCGCCTCGAGGAGCTGTCCGTTTCGAGCGTAGGCCGCCAGCATCGCGTTCCAGGCGACCAAGTCTCGCTGCGGCATCGACAGGAACGTGAACTTGGCCTCCTCGACCCGGCCGTTGTGAGCAAACGCCGCCAGCATCGACGTCCACGAGACTTGGTTGTGCTCCGGCATCGATGAGAAGCAATCCCTCGACTTCTCGATGAATCCGGCCTGGGCGAACGCTGTGAGCATCGTGTTCCTCGACACCAAGTTGTGCTGCGGCATCCCCCGAAAGAACACCTCCGCCTCGCGAAGACCACCTTCGATCTGGACGTAGCCGCCGAGCATGATGTTCCAGGATATCAAGTCTCGAAACGGCATCGAGTCGAAGTGTAGCGTTGCTCGATCCATGAGCCCGACCTGTGCGTACCCCGCTAGAATGACGTTCCAAGCGATCACGTTTCGCTGTGGCATGCCGTCAAACACCCTCCTGGCCTCCTCCAAATGCCCCTCTTCGACGTAACAAGCCAGCATCGTCGTCCACGAGAACAAGTCCCTCTCGGGCATCCCCCAAAACACGAACTTTGCATCGTCGAGGCGTCCGTTTTGAGTATACGCCGCAAGCATCGTGTTCCAAGAGACCAGGTCCCTCTGCGGCATGTAGTCAAACGTAGCCTTGGCACTGTCCAGGCTCCCCAGCTGAGCATACGCCGAAAGCATCGCTGTCCAGCAGACTGTGTCACTCTCGGGCATAGCCTCCATGACGAGCTTTGCCTCGTCTATATACCCAAACCGGGCATAAGCGTGATGGATAGTCGTCCAGGAGATCAAGTCGTGCAGTGGCATCCTGTGAAACAAGTCCCCGGCCTCTTCCAGCTTCCCAGCCTCCACAAAAGCGTCGAGCAGAGTGTTCCACGACACCAGGTTGGTGCTGGGCATTTCCTGGAACAGCAGCGTAGCGTCTTCCAGGCACCCATTCTGGGCATATACAGCCAGCATCGCGTTCCAGGCGACTTCATCTCTCTCGGGCATCTGGTCGAAGAGGAGCTTGGCCTGGTGGAAGTCTTCGCTGGAAGAGAATGCCACCAGCAGGCTCGTCCAGGCGATGAGATTCTTGCTGGGCATCTCATCGAAGATCTGCTTGGCTTGCTCGAGGTTGCCGGTCCGAGTGTACGCCAGCAGCATCGTGTCCCAGGAGAAGGAGTCCCTGGCGAGCATCGCGTCGAAGATGGTGCGTGCCTCGCGTGAGCTCCGGCAGCGGCCATACATCTCGATGAGCTTGTTGCAGAGGAAGACATCGTCGAGGAAGATCTTATCGACGATCTGTACGTGGACTGCCTTTGCGGTGGCGATCGTCTTGACGGAGCTGATAAGCTCAAGACATTCGGCCCTGCTCTTCCTCATCGCATCTCGCGCTAGCGTTTGACGCGTTCCAAGGCGCTTTGGATCTCCTCGCAGTCGCGTTCCATGATCTTTATCCAGTTCTCAAAATCACCAATCTCCTAGAGAAACAAAAGAAGAGGAGGAGAAAGCGAACAAGAGTTACAAAGATCCACAAGAAGGAGAGAGCTTGCCTTCAATGCCGTGTCGAAACTATGGAAGAGGCTCATCCACTGGTTGCTCTGCTTGACCGCTCGCTGAACCGTCATGGCCACCGCGCGAGTCTCGCTCTCGATCCTCTTCTCGTTCGCAAACACCTCCTGGACGCCGGCATTGAGGCCGCGCTCCAGAAGTTTCGATACCTGTGCGGCCGATGCAAGGGCTTCTTTCCGATCCCTGTCTGTGAAGCCCGCATTGAGCCGATTTCCAGCCAAGAATCCAAAATCTCACCTATGCGCTGCCGGATCGCTGCCGATCGCTGTGCACGATCGCGCATTAGCTCCAAGAACGCGGCATCCAACCCCCCCGCGGCCATCTAGAATGAAGAACCCTAAAGTAATGACGATCAGCCCTAAATGTTTTAAAGGTAATAAAAAAATTTGTGGCTGAGAATTGTGAAAAACTTTGGGCCACATATTGATTTGACCATCAACGGTCCATAGGAAAGATTTTGTGTCAATCTTTTCCACCGCTCCAGTGCGGCCACGTTGTCTGCCACCTGGCATTTCTGCCACGTTGTCCAATCGGACGGCGGATGCCATCCTGCTATTCAATGTGGTTTTGGAACTCTTGCATTTGTGTGTCTGGACCTCTAGAGTCTCCAAAGGGATAGGGATACAGAAAGAAAGCGCAGGGAGAGAGGGCTAGGGTGGATCGATTCTTTTCGTGCCGATCTGTGGATGATAGCTCGGGATTGATGCTGTGAGGCGGTTTATCGAACGAGCTGCGCGCGATTTGTTCTAGGGAGCAGCCATATGAATGCTGAAATGGTAGGGTTGATGGCGAATCCAGCGCTTCCATCCGATGATGCGGTGTCCAAGAAGATCCGGAAGCCCTACACCATCACGAAATCCAGGGAGAGCTGGACGGAGCAAGAGCACGACAAGTTTCTCGAGGCCTTGCAGCTGTAAGAGATCTTTTCCTCGCGAGGTATCGGTTCTAAGTCCAATCTCTCCAGGTTTGATCGGGATTGGAAGAAGATTGAGGCGTTCGTTGGCTCGAAAACAGTGATTCAGGTGAAATTCCTTTGCTTTATTCATGTTCTTCGCGGGGATTTAGTTCGTTAGTGTGTGACAATTTCCAGATTAGAAGTCATGCCCAGAAGTATTTTTTGAAAGTCCAGAAGAATGGAACTGGAGAACACGTTCCTCCTCCACGGCCGAAGCGTAAATCTGCTCAACCATATCCTCAAAAAGCTGCGAAACCAGGTAAGCTGCCGATACCAAATTGCGAGTTTCATAGCGTTTTTCTTTGCTCGACAGCTCCCCCACAGCGAGGAACTCCACATCCTCCACCACCGGATTTTGCTTACATGGTTCCACAATGCAATATGTTTGTTCCAGGAGTGACCGCCAGTCCGGTTTCTTCCTGGGTTCATCATGGAGGGCCTCAAGGAACCATTCCTTTCTACAAAGGTGGAAGTTTTGTGATTTTTAGAATGATTGTTTTGTTTTTCTCTGTTTTTTCTCACCGTGTTGATGTCCTTCCAGATCCCCATCAACCGGAGCTGGCAACCCCCGCGAATATTAAGAACCAAAACAATAGCAGCACTGCAAATACTTGGGCTCAAGATCCTCCGGCACAAGCAAATCCGCAGAGAGGTCGGAAAACTGGAGAAAAAGTGGATAGAGCTAATGGTATTGTGACTTTGTCAGCTGCTCCTGCGTTCTCCGAGGTTTACAAATTCATTGGAAGCATCTTTGATCCGGGCACGGCTGGGCATCTCAAGAAGCTACGGGAGATGGCTCCGATAGACCGAGAAACTGTGAGTGTTTGTTTTGCTGGTGGCATTTCTTGCTGATATGATTCGTGTTCCAGGTTTTGTTGTTGATGCGGAACCTGGCAATCAACCTGTCAAGTCCGGACTTCGATCAACGGGTAAAGTTTGCGGACAAACGTTTTTTTCGTTCTTTTCAACGTTTTTGTTTTTCTGGTTTGTCTCGTGACAGAAGCTGTTCGTTTCAGTCTACGAAACGAAGGAAAACGGAATGGATTTTGACGACTTCCAACAAGGTGGTGATGAAGAAACAGCAAGAAACGTGGAGAAAAGTTCGCAAGAAGCACTAGCAACAGCGCCACCACTTTTCCCTGGCTCCCAACCGGAAGCTAGCATCCCACAAGCTGTAGCAGATGTTTCCAAGCACCAAAGGCATCCTTATGATGGTGGTGGAGGTTTAGAAGAGGACAGGAGTGGATTGGATCCTCTGTACAACATCGCAGAAGCTCTGGAAGACTTCGATCCTGTGGACCAAGTAGAGAAGATCGATCCAGAGAGCATTATCAGCGACGGAGAAACTCTGAAGATGGCAGCGGCAGCAGCAGCAGCATCTAGAGACGACGATGATCAAAGTGTAGAGGGATGGTGGCCGTAGCAAACCAGCAAACTTGGGCGATCGATCGAGCTCGCGCCGGCTTCGTTTCATCGTCCAGGCCTTTTTGTGAATAGCTCCCAGTAAGTTTCTTCGCGTTCTTCCGTTCGTTTTCTCACTCTCTTTTCTTCTCTGTTCCTTGTCACAGGGTGTTTATAACTTCGCGGTATTTCTTGTGGTGTGATCAAAGCTCCAAGGGATCTATGTATGTTAACTGGGAGCATCCCTTTGGAGTAAGGAAAGCATTGGCTAGGATTGTGTACACGCGTCGCGGGTGAAAGTTGACACGCGGTGTGCTCCCATTGGCCGCTATTGTGTACCTTCCTACACAGGGCCACGCCCCTTCTTTTTCCTATAAAGCCTTCCTTGCTCGTGCTACATTGAGGGCATATCCTTTTTTTCTAGCGCATTATCGCCCTAGGGTACTGGCGGAGGATCGAGCGATGGCGTTGGTGGAGTGGAGTCGCGGTCGTGGTATGTCATGGCTTGGATGATTGTGGCAGAGCTGAGCTCGTAGCTGGGAGGAAAGATTGCGGAGATTTCGGAGATTTCTAGCTCAATCGGCTTCTAGGGCAAGGAGAGCAGCTGGAAGGAGCTGGAGAGCCTTGGAATTACATGAGAAGTGGAGCCGATAGGAGGGAGATCTGGAAGTTTGGGCGACGAGGTAGCGGCAGCTTGGATGAAAAGGGAGATAGCAGGCTGGAAGGCGGAGGGGGCGACTTTTGACAAGAAAGAAAGGCGAGACTGGGGATGGTATAGAACCAAGCTCAAGAGAAATGCCGGACGAATGGAGTGGTGACTCGTGAGACGCTCATTGCAATGACTCGAGTTGTGGTTCCGAGAGGTAATCCAGCGCCTGGTTCGTCCCAGCCACCGAGAAATGTTGCTACTTCCACTCCTGGGACTTCGTCGTCAGTACCACCGCCACCTCCTCCTTTGCCACCATCGTCGACTCTCATTTCTCCTTCCGGCCAGGAGGCCGCGGAGAACAAAGCTGAGGGAACTTCGAGTTTCCTGGATGGAGAAAGCATCGAAAAAGCCTCACAGCTGGGAAGTCGGTTTGCCGGCCTTTGCATTTCTTCCGAAGAGTCGAGGAGCGCTGGAAAAGCTCCCGGCTCGGACCAGGAGAATGCAAAAGAATTTGCTGCTCAGGTGACAGAGGCAGTGCAAAGTCCGAGCGTTCCGGCAGCAGCTTCCGAGTGTGGTAACCAAGAACCGCCTAGATCTAACGCAGGAACTTCGTCATCAACTAGAGTTGGAACAGGCTCAAGGCGTGCCACAGTTCCAAGGCCAGGTTTTACTGCTCAGCGAGTCAGGATCTCGCCAACGAGCTCGCATTCCACGTCTCCTAGAGCACACTCGGGGGAGGGCGATGGATACAACAGTGCTGACGAATCCAGTTCCTGGTCTGCAACGCCTGGATTTGAGGAAGATGTACGTGGATGGTAATCCGCTTGTGCGGCTCCGAGAGCTTCAGTGACAAATATGTTCGTGTCTTGTTTCTTTTTTCCAGGAGGACAAGGAAAGCCATTTCGAGATCGAGCTCCGGCGGGTGAAAGGTTTCGAAGTAAGGAGAATGGTTCCTGATGGCAACTGTTTGTTCCGTGCTGTGGCTGATCAAGTCTATGGCGATCCAGAAATGTTTGGCGAGACAAGGCAGATGTGTATAGATTACATGGTAATGATTCTGAGTGTGATGCTTTCAGGGATCAAGTCACGTTGCTATTTTTCTGTTACAGGAAAGAGAAAGAGATCATTTTTCACAGTTCATTACAGAAGGCTTTACTACGTACTGCAAAAGAAAACGCAGAGATAAGGTTATCGCTTTTCTTTTGCTGTCTTACTTGACTGATGAATGGTGGTACTGCCTTGAAGGTTTATGGCAACAACCTCGAGATACAGGCAATGGCTGAAATGTACAACCGGCCAATTCACATCTATTCGTACAGCACAGGTATGGGGTCCCATGTTTGTCGGTTTGTTTTCCTGAATTTTCTGCGATGTCGCAGATCCGATAAACATATTTCATGGACAGTATGAAACTGACTTGCCGCCAATCCGGCTAAGCTATCACCGTCGAAATCACTACAATTCGCTTCACGATCCATCACGGCCTGCTGTTGGAGCCGGACTTGGTTTTGGAAGCCTTCGTGGTGTAAGCGTTTTTTTTCTTGTTTACTTTCGTTTTGTTTCACTGGCTCGAATCTAATACTTTTCGCTTATAGAACAATGTTGACAGAGATCAGGTGAAGGCTGCTATCCGCGCACAACAGGACCAACAGATTGAAAACGTACGTGATGTTCTACTTCGTCTTGTGATCCAACAGCTGCCTATCTTGTACAGGCTCTTTTGGCCGAAGGCCGGTTCTACTCCGACTTGGAACTGACCGAGCAAGAGATCGAAAGGATGGTGATGGAGGCTTCTCGAGCGGAGTACCTTGCCGAGGAGCACCACCGGCAAATCACGCACTCGTCCGAGGAGACGTCCTCTTCGGCCGCGGGAGGACCATCATCTTCTGGAGGTAAGGAGCTACTTCCAAATCATAAAAACCTCTCACTTGCGCTTGTTTGCGTGCTTGCTTCCCAGCGTCGAGGGGATCTGGAAGCGCTGGCGGTTCTCACGTTGGTGGATCAGTAAGTCTCACAGACTCTGCCGCGATAAACAGGAGCAGCAACGTCCGCGTCCTCCTGTCCATGGGATTTAGCTACTTCCGGGTGATGGAGGCGTGTAGCATCTTCGGGGACGACGTGAACAACATGCTGTGCTACTTGCTGGAGACGGAGGCTCTCAAGGGGGAGAGCATGTATAGGATGAAAGGGAAGGCCGCCGAGAAGTAGTATCTAGTGCCATGGCCGGGACTTTAGCATGGAACTTAGCATTCGAGGTTGAAAGCTCTTCTCAGGATTTGTGGGAATGTTTGGCAGGAAGACGATGAAGACTGTGGCAGTAAGAGACGCTGTGATTGCGCAAGAGAAGTGGCTGGAAAGAAAAAGGAGAAAGGACCTTTGATCAATAAAAGCTCAAACTTTTAAGATGGTTTTACCAGTTCGTAGTAGTAGCTCGTTGCTCATTGTCATCGAATCCAGAAAACTCACGAGAGCTTTAAGCTTTTAATCGTGAATTCTCGAATCTAGAAGAGCTTTAAGTTTTTAATTGTTGTCGAAGCTTAATCGTTGTCCAAGCAACGAGGGCACTTACAGTGGAAACCATAGGCGTCCTGAAGAAGTGCTCTGCGAGCTTCACACCCCATGCTTGCATCAATGTAAGTTATACACAGCTCCTTGCCTGGTGAAAAAGTAAAAAAAAAAGGATTAGGCACCAGCATTTACTTTGAGCTCTACCTGGTTCGATCGGTTGTAAAGCTTTCAGTTGTGCAAACGCATTTTCTCGCCAGTAAATGTTCACGTTAGCATCTAATGATCCAAAGGAAAACAAATATGTAAGTGATAAAGTCGAGCAAAGATGAGCAAACGAATGAAAGGATTTACCGCAGCTATGGTTGAACATGGAGGGAAGAATGTAGACGGCGGAGCCAACAACATCGTCGCCTGTGATGGAGTCGACAAGCGCTGCTTCAAGGTTTGTGATCTCCGTGGCGATAGTCTCCACTCGGAATGTGTTGAGGTGTATTCTGGAGAGCGCGCCGGCGTACCAAGAATCGCTCAAAACTTCGAGCCTGTCGAAAGAAAAACGAACTCTTTTGCTTGGAAAGAAACGAAGAAAAAGGATACACTTCGTTGAAGCCGAGTCTATACCGCAACGAGTTAGAGTTTCTGTCAAAAGCTTGCGCTCCTCGAGCCACTGCAACGAAAAAACCACGCTTACAACCATAAGATCGTAATTTACGTAGGAACTTACTCTTTGGAGAAATCCAGGAGGACTTGGCGGATAGAGAATGTCGAGAACATCAAAAGAGGCCATGTTTGTGGCTACCATGCATGCCAATCGCTTCACCAAGAGTGGAAACCTCAAGTTACTTTCCCTGGCATCAAGCACACACACACACACACACAAAAAAAACTTTAGCCAGAAAAGAGAAGAACAGAAGCGAGCAATTTGGATACCTACAGTAATCGTGAAACTCTTTCCAGTGACGATTGTTCTCCAGATCCATACACCCCTGGAAGAGAAACATCAAAACAAGTACAGGGACACAAGATATGAGAAAAAAACTTAAAAGAGAAGAAAATTGAAAAACCTTGGCAAGATCAGTGCATTCTTGACTGCAGTAGGCCATCCAGGAGCTCTCGAGTTGGAGAAATGGTTTTGTGATCAAGCTAAAACGTTTAAGGCACCACCAGCAAACCTGGAAGAAAAAACAGCTTTCACAACAAGAAGAAAAAAAGCACCGCAAGAACCTTTCCCATGTTTGTGGGCGAGGGTTGCGAAATCACTGGAAATTCCGTGAGAATAACATCCCCAGCGCCGATCTTGCGACTGGCAAACACACCCCTGCCCGCAGTCTCAGTGAGCTTCACCTGAATCGGCGGAGCAATGCCCGCCGCTACGCATAGATTTGGAGAGCTTGGTTAGAGAAGAAGAGCTCGCAACGCGCTCACCTCGAGCGGCGGAAGAACACCAGCGTCGCCCCAATGTTCTCCCAGCCATAAACCCTAAAATTACTTTTCTTTCGCCAAGCAAAACTTTTCTTTTGCAACACAAAACTTCTTCCACTTAGTATATCATTATATCTCGTTCATCAGCTTCTTCAGATCTGACGAGCATTAAACAAAGGTTCCAGGCCTTTTATTTTAAACGTCCTATTTAAAAATCTAAGTCATGTTAGATTCAGCGGCGAACAACTCGGCCACGAGAAAACGGATAAGAGAAATCTCGCCTCGTCATTAGCGGGTACTTAATAACATCCTCCATGTTTTTCACAGCTTTGGTGTTGATTTTCCTCGCCAGTTATTTGCGAATGAGCCACCACTGTTCCTTGGATGAGGGAGTGTCGGACTCCCAGTCGAAGGTCACAGGTACTGGAAGTTTCATCGCCGCCAGAAGAAGTGAGGTCCCTTGCGAAGCTCTAACCTTGAACTCATTTTGGCTTCTGAGTTAAGGAGCTAGCAAAGAAAGAGAAACTTGAAAATCAAAGCCTGCTGATTTAGATGAAGACTCCATGTTTCGTTCTTGTAATATAAAAGTGCCGTATCCTCGAAAACAATAAAGTGTCTTTGAAGGAAGGACTCGCTATCCCATGTTCTGTCAATTATCCAACTTATCAAGCTTTAACAGTTTATCTCTATATTAAATTTTTCTGATCAAAATTATCAATAAACCATATTCTTTCAAGATTCTTAGCAAGCTTCTTAATTTGTAAATCTAAGCTCCAACTTTGAAGGCTGCGGCACCCTGCTCATGCATTTTTTACTTGCAAAACAATACACTAAAAGGTTACGTTCCAAAAGAAAGGCAGGAAAAAAAATTTACCCTCCACCCTTGAAGTGCAATGAAGAAGGGCAGGGGTTAAAAAGATTTTTATTATGTCATAAAAAGATAAAAGGGCAAAAGGGTAAGTGTGAGAGCAATAGAAGACATTGTAAACAATAGGAAGGCCTAAAAAGGACACAAAGTAATCACATTTATCCAGGTTTTTTACTATTACAACTAGCTCTCATTCTATAGGTAGTGAGCACAGGAATCAAGAAGGAGAGGGACAACAACAGTTGTGTGTGGAGAATCAGTCAGTCCCCCTCAAAAAAAAAAACAAAGAGGAGATTCAATGAGCATTAGAAAGTGAAAACAAGATGCACAACCCTCAAAGCCAGTGAAGCAATCTATACATTCAAAGAGACCACACCCAGTACTTCTGAGCAAAAAGACATGAACAGAGTCAGCTACTCTTGGCACCACCGAGAGATCTCACATTAGTTAATTTTCTTTCTTTGGTTAGAAACGAAATGATGAAATATAGATATTGCATTGATGCTAAAATGGATAATGTGTTTACAAAAGAGGGCTGTAAAACTCTTTAAACGCTAGCTTTGAGGATTCATGTGGATTCTGAAGATCACTTGCAAGTAGTTGTTGAGAGCTTGAAGCCCACAAAGCATGCTCAAACACTTACAGGTAATTAATGCTAAAGAATAGAAAAGGGTGATAGCAATTATTAAGATTGATTTTCATGTGTCAATGGTTATTTGAGTTACACTAATGTAAAGGCTGGTAAAGGATTCCTTCAAGCTACTCACAAAGATTACTACGAGAAGTTGAGTTGAACTAGTTTCAAGCAAACAAGTCTATTGATAATAGCTTGAAACATCATTTGATTTTCTATGTTAAATTTTTTTCAAGCGGTAGAGAGATAAGAATTAACTACTTCAAGCTAGTATCAACAAAAATTGGCAAACCTAGATGTAGTGTTTACTTGGATAAATGATATAAGTCTTTCTCTTGAGAAGTTGATTGGTATTGCCACAGATGGTTGAAATGCCATGCAAGGAGCACAATCTAGTTTAGTCACATAATTTAAGGAGTGTGTATAGCACTTGATCACAGTGATTCATTCTGCTTTTAAAAGTAAACATAATTTATTATTGTAGCAACACTTTGTTTTCTTGGTTATTTTTATTTATTTTTACTAATGTCACTTTATTATGATAAATCCGATATACTATATCTCAAAGTCTTTTTAATTTTTTTTATATTCAAAAAAATTGTTTATATAGCTCCAACTTTTCAAATTTGAACTTTGCATCAACATTAACCTCAATGTAAAGTTTATAAAAAACTTTTACTTTTTCAATGTAAGAGATATAAATCACCTAATATACATTATGTTTGATTAAGTTGCCATTGGTCTTCTTTAGTAGAGAGAGCTAAAAGTGACAAGCTAAAAGAACATGAGCATATCTAAAGTTCTCAACTTCAAATTCACTTGTTCATTGTTGTTATATTATTTTACCTCTTAAAACCCCACTTGCATTCTATTATACTTATAAGAATTACCATTATGGCAGCCCACACTTTCAAGAACTCACTATACTACTCAAGGTAGAATCTGAGAGAATAAAAGCATTCATCATTTTAGATTCTAGAAAAAATATAAGTAATTAAAACTTCCTTATTTGATAATAATTCCAAAAGTCATTCATGGTTTTTCATCCAAAGTCTTTACTCCAAAGTTCAATGCTTGATATTTAAAACTGTCCATATTAGTAAGTAGCTCTTTGAACTGCTCAACTAGGATGGAAGCCTAAGACTTCACAACAACTACTACATCCTCTAATTTATCAAGATAAAGAGTGGTGTTAAGTAGCTTCCATCATACCTCCATACTCTAGAAACCTTTCCTCCAAACAATTAATGACTTTTCCTAGCAATCTTA